TATTTTTAGCCTCATTGGGAGAACAGCGTCCGGCTAATTTTGGGGCAAACTTGCTCTCATTTCGCGTAGCCCTAACCTTGCCCGTGTTGTCTTTTAACTCTCGTAACCTCTGGTTTATGCGAAAAAAGCCCTGTGCGATCATGCGAACCCTTGCTAACACCCGGACTTTTCCACTTTTAGCCAGTGATAAGCCGAATCTGGGCCTGGAGGAGCTCCAAAGCCTCAACGTGAAGGAACGGTTTCAGGTGTTCGAGCAGTATCAATCGCAACAAACTGAAAGTAGCGACTTCGAGCGCGGTGCGACCAATGTGAAGCGATCGCCCAGTATATTGTCGAAGCTGGCCAAGTAAGTCGCCACTCCCAACTGGCCTCAAAACCCTCTCATCATCCGACTTTCCCAGGTTCCAAAAGCACGGAATGGACGTTGGCGTGTCCAATGAGGCTCTGGACGGCATCCCCATTGAAGAGTCCGACGACTCCGACGTGGAAGAGGAAGAAGTGATCGATGGCGAGGATCCAGACCTTGTCAGGTACAGAGAGCCATTCGCGCTCAAATTCCCCCAAGTATGCAAAAATCGCATTCATTCCAGGGCAAAGAGAGTGCAGAAGGAGAAGCCGTTCCATTTCACCGCCATGTCGGATGTGAAAAAGCGATGGGAACAGGGCGACCACGCAAGAGAAGAGAGAAGAGAAGAGACTAAGCAAGAAATACAAAACATTAGGACCAAATTGTTTATGGTAAGCGCACCACAATGTGGCCGAAACAGGTGTCAATCAACCCGCCATCCTCAGGGCAAGCAGGAGAAGATGAAGGAAGCCTACCAGCAAGCTGTGATGGAGAGCGAGTCTAGCTCAAACCTCAGGAAGAATCTTTCGGAGAAAATCGAGGCCTGTGATACTAAATCGATTAAGGAACGCTTTGAGAAGGGCGAGGTCGCCAACGAGAAGCTCGACAAAGAGAACCGAAACGAAGAAGAGGAGGAAGTATACGAAAGCGGTAAGCCGATGAGCCGAAACCCAGCCGACTTCGACTAAAACCCAATCTCCTCGCGCAGAAATCAGCAAAAAATCCCGATCTCTCTTCTTGGAGCTGGACGCCAGCGCCTCCAAGCCGCCCCAAGTTTCCCCAGTGGCCGCCCCGAAGCTGGAAGTGAAGAAAGCACGCGAGGTAAGTGTTCAAAGGCGCCCCCTTTGAGTCTCTGTCCAGTCGACCAGCAAATCATTGCCCACCCATCTTAGGCCTACTTGGAACGCACTTCCAAAGAGGACGTAGTAAAGTCCACAGAGCAAATCGAGGAAATCGAGGTGCGAACGGCCGATATTCAGGAAAAATTTAAATTCTTCGAAACCTACAAGGAGCCGGAACAGCAGAAGAAACAGTTCAGGATAACGCCGCCTAGGGACGCCTCGCAAGTTAAGGTGGTTAAGAGGCTGTGTGTGTGTATTTTCGTTGTTGATTTTCCCCACTTAATTCATCACTAAGTCGCCGTCGGACTCTTCTAACACACACCACTTGCTCTGCCCTCAAAATAACAACTCGACTCTAGCTTTCGCTTAGTAATCTTCCGATCATCCCATTTCATTTTCTTCAAAGGGGCCCCTGAACGGTAACGAGCAGGACTAACGTTCACTTTCGTGGTTTTTCCAGACTGAAACGCCCGAGCGCGAGATTTATCGGGATCCAGAAGTGGTGCGGGCCGAAGAGTACATTGACGACTCCAATGTTGCCAAAGAGTCGCACACCGCCTCCAAAATGCTCAACAAGTTCAGGCAAATGGAGGAGAATCTCACCAGGGAGCCGGAAACCCAAGGCATGCAGAACGCAAGTAAACCTGCCTGAAGGCTCATAAAAGCGGAATTTTGGCCATTTCAGGCCCCAAACCGCTGAAGCGATTCACCCCGCCCCCAGAGCCCGCCAGGCCAGAGTCGCGGAGCGAAGACGAGTCTTCTGAGTATGAGGAGGAAGACGAGGATGAGGTGGACCAAACCGGAAAACTGCCCGAAGATCTCATTGAGGTAGGAATTTGTGGTTTGGCAACCGCGCTACACACAAAACTTGCTTCGCACTGTTAAAAAAATCTGGTTGAATTTTCAGTCAAATGTAATTGAAGTTTTGGTAATGCTTTACGCTACGAACTGGTACTAGGATTGCCGCTTTTTCGATTAAGACTATGCTCACCTTATAGAAAATCTCGTAACAAACAATATT